ATTATTTGTGGTTTTAAAAGTAATTTCAAAACGAGGAAAGTTTTGCCAGAAATATATATGAAATGCAGAAAGATTACAGATGCAGGAAAAGTTTATCATATTAAACTTTTATTGCATCTGAATAATAAATTTCTTATTTGATCCATATTTAGTTGTGAAGTTTTGTCTTTCTGAATAATAATGTATGTGTTATTTGAACTTCAAAATTTTTGAGTTCTTATATCATTATTATATTGAATTAAAAGAAATATAGCTTAATATTATTATTATTTACAAAAATGTATAAAATACATGCTATTAATATATTTGTATGCTAAGATTAAAGTTTTAATTATTCCCTTATTTATTTATTTTTTAACTTGTGTTTTAATGAGTTGTAATGTTGCAAATTCTGAACAGCAACTAAAAAATTATTTAATCAATGATATATTTGGCCATCTTTTTTATTTGGTTTAAATTATTTTAATATCACAACTCAGAAATTTTGAACTGTGCATTACAGTAATCAGTTTGAAACATTCTTGATACCATAGTAAATTCATATTTTCATTTCTTTTTTTGCAGTTTATTTTTTAATGACTTTTAAATTAGCAAAATTATTACAACTTGCAAAGTTTGAATTAGGCATTTGAGTAATCACTTTTCAATGCATGGTAAATCCATGGGGTGTTTTGTTTATTTTATTGCAGTTAATTATTACAATACACAAAATTCTATTCATGCTTTTATTACTCACTCTTTAATGTGGTGATATCACTGTTTTTTTTTTCTTTGTAATTTTCACAGTTATTGCTATTGACATTTTAAGTTATTGCTATTGATATCCACATTGTTTTTTTTTAATTCCCCATATTTTCTGAGACAAAAATTAATTGCGAAGAACTGACACTATGACCATTGGTTGATTGGAATCAACCCTTTTCTTTGAAAGAATGAATTAAACTGGGTGAACAGTTTGATAGTTAGGTTGACCTGGGGTAATTCCTGATTAAGAAATGCAGGCATGTATTTTGTGAAAAAACTATTCAAGATAGAATTTTTATATTTACTGGAAGTTAGAGGCTATATGAGATGAGTCCTATGCTATCTTTTGTTTGAAAATCTAATGAGAATTTAAAAGTGATCAGGAATTACCCCTTCCCTTGATCATTTCTGGGGTAATTACTGATCACCTGTTTTTATAGTAATGGTACTGTTTAAAAATAATTATACATTGGTAATTAACAAATAAGACATCAGGATCAAACAAATAAACCAAAAAGATATGTTTATAAGCAGCTATTGAAAGCAGGAATAAAGATTAACCTTTTAAATTTTTCAAAAATCTTTGCATTGTGCAATACATTTTAGGCAAGCAGCCAACTCATTTTCATGTTCTGCTGGAATATAAGAAAGAGTTCCCACCTGGGTTACTTTAACTAGTTTTTTTAACTTCATTAAGGTGAGAGTGTAAAGTTAAGTAAGGAATGTCAACAGCTCTCAATGAAATTTTCATTTTCTATCATTAAAAGAAATTCATTAATTTTGCTTTCTAGAAGCTTAGTATCCTTTTAAAGCTTGTAATTTCATCCCATATTTATATTATTAGGCTAATTTATATATTTAAAAATTAATCTAACACTGTACACACATAAAATTAAGATAGAAGCAAGGTGAGACAAACCAAGAATGATGCAAATCAGAACTCATTTATCTTGTATACAGTTAAAAATAAATTTTGTTATTACAGTTAAAATATATTTTATAGTTGTTCCACTTAATAAATATGAACTGTTATTTAAGAAATGACAATGAGAAGAAATGACAATGATCAGGAATTACCCCAGTGATCAATAATTACCTCATCTCTAGGGGACAGCATTTGATATAGTTTCCTATAATCAATTATAATGTTTACAGTAGATGTGAAACAATTAAACAAAAGCTTACACTATTTTTATATTAAAGAAAAAGAAACTCAAAATATTTATTAAGAGAAGGAGGTGGATCTTTGCAGAAATGTGTACATTTTGAAACCCATCTTTGAAATGGAAAATACAGAAAGCAGTTTAAAAGATACCTATTTTGTTAGTTTAAACAAAAAACTATTAAGTAAATATAGTTATGCTTTAGTAAAGTGTAGAATCATTCTTATCCGTGTCTCAAATTTAAAAAAATAATTTATTTTTTTTTAGTAAAACTTAAGTGATTATTATTTACCCCAGAAACAGAATGATCGCGAATTACCCCGGGTCACCCTAATATAATAAATGGCATTTTGTTGTTTCTCTTATAAATATTCAAATATCCTTTTATAACTAACTGCATGCTGTGCTCTTTATTCTTTTCTTAATTGAATAAACTATAAGAAATTTTCATCCAGACCCTTTTCTCTAAGAGTCAATTTGTTTTAGTTTTTCACATAGCCACTTGCTTGATACATGTTTAATAAGTTTAATCCATCTAGGCCTGTGTAAGTACAGGTATAGATGTAAAATACCTTGGCATTTATTAATTTTATTGAAAATTTAATCATGTGAAATTAAGTTTTGCTTACATTGTCAATAGTTAATTATTTACTAAGAAGGAAAATTTCTGCAGTAAAACTAGTATGATGAGTTTTTTAAAAAATGAAATGTTATTTTTTCTCTTTTTATTGCATTTATTTTTAAATGTTGAGGTATTTTAAAAAAAATTTCCTATTTTACCGAAAACTATTTTCCTGCTGTTTGTAAGATGTAAAAAGTCATCTTTTGCTACTAAATAACATAGATAAAAGAGGGTAATTCTAAAGTGAGCATTAAAATGAATAAAAATATCTAATATTTTGTAATAAGTGTTATCGTAATTAATATAATACTAACGTATATGATAGAAAAACACAATACACCTGGTGATAAATAATTTATCTCTTTTATACATTTTTAATTACAAATTGGATCTTACAGCAACCAATGGGTATGTTGAACAAAAGAATGCATTTTCTGTCAAAATCATAAAGATTTTTTAATTAATACTCTCAGGGTTCATTCCAGGCGGGGTTTGGGGGGCGCCCTGCCCCGTATGCTCTTTTGATGAGAAATTTCCACCCTGTTGCCCTTTACTCCTTTTATCCCGCCCTGATATAATAAAATGCGCCCTGGTGTATCCCCTCCAAAAAGATACTACCTTCCTGCAAAAAGAATTCTTTTGTTCTGTCTCCCCACTTAGTGATACTTTTCTTGAAATAAATTTGTCTTCCCTCTAGCCTTGTCTCTCTCTTGTCACCCCTACTTCAGTAGCCCAAAGACGACTGTGCGCAAAGTCGAGCACTTTACGGCAGAACAGTTTAACGAGGACCAATACCGCACACCCTCGTCCCCTACGCAGACTGATCCAAGTCGTCCCCCATCCGCGCACAGTCCGCAGCCAAAATCTTAACTGATAAAGCAAAAAATATATAATTTATAACTAATTTTGATAGTTTTTTTGTTTTGTTTGCTTAAAATTTCTCATAGGGAATTAATGCATTGCTATTTTTTTTTCTTATTAAAAAATGATTTTTTTTTTTAAGGTGATTCAATAGCATCCGTCGTTGAACTTGAGAAGCTGTTTAATTGTTTAGGAGATCGAAAAATTGGCAATTACTGTCAAATAAATTATTAATTGTATTTAAAAAAGACATTGTGTGCTCTGTTGGTACAGCTATGCACAGTGATATTAAATTGAATAATTTAAATTGTTTTTTGTTGTATTATTTACCATAAATATTTAAAATACAGTTTGATTATAGCTGGAATCTAGAGAAAATCTAAAATTCTCAATGAATTTAAATGTACCTCTGAAATTCACAAATTTTAATTTTAAAATCAATTCATGTTTATCTTGAAATTGTTACAAGAAATATATTTTCTGCTAAGTGTTATGAAAGTTCCTTTATTGTATTAACATGAAAAAATTGCACAAATTTAACCCAGTTAAATCTGATACATTTCAACTTTTCTCTGGTAAGAGTCAATACCAAATATGATTCGTATTCTTTCAATCTAGGATATTTAATTTTTTTCATGTTAGCATAAACTCATTCTTCTAAAACATCTTTTTTATGTAACTCTTCAATTTTTAATAGCTATGTTTTCTCTTCTTTTTTTTTATAATGGCTGTTGTTCATTTCTGTATTATACAATTTCTTACATATCTCATACTGGTCTGATTTTGTTGCATAGAAACAAAAGAATAAGCTTTAAAGTTAATGACTATTTTCAAAAATTCTTAAATGTTCCTACAAATGAGTAGTTCACAAGTAATTGTTTTTAAATTGCTATTTCTTCCCCCAAGTTGGAATCAGTTAGTAAAATTTTTTGTTCATATTTAAAAATAAGATTTCTGTTCAACTCAATTTGACTAATTTATTCAAATTATTGTTGAGCTATTTCTAATAGACTTGTTAAAGAGTCTTTAAAAAAGAAAAGATTAAATTTCTTCTTGATTTTGATGGTGAAATAAAATTTTTCATTTATTGTATTAATTAAAATGGCCTGTATTACCTGCTGGGGTAATACAGGCTATTTTTGGTAAGTCGCCAAATAGAAGGAGCTAGAAGACCAATCACCACCGGCATCTCTGTGAAATAATGGTGCTATAGTTAAAAGCCTATTTATCTTTATCTCACACCATGGGATTTTTTTTTTCTGTGGGGGTTCATAACTTCCTTGACTGATAATCAAACCCATATTATAGTAATACTTTCAAAGTTGTTCTTTAAAAATTCTACAAATTTTTTAAAAAAATAATAATAAATTCAGGTTGCCAACTAAAAAGAAAAAATTATTACCATCAGTAGCGGATGTTCTTAAGATCATATTTCAAGCTAAGATTTGATCTAAATCCTAATGTTTTTGGAAGCAGATTTTCAGCATGTTATTTAGTTAGTGCTGCTCCTGAATTTGATCAAAAAATCTCTACAGTAAATAGAGATGATTTTAGTCATGATGAAAGGGAAAAATAATGCTATTAAATGGTTATAACTACTATCACAGTGACTGGAATTTTTGAATGGAACTCGACGTGCAGCCACCTCCTCGTGGTGAGTTCTGGGTAGTTTTGTTTTTACAAAACGAGCTAAGAGCTGCACAAATTTTTTTGATGTCGTTTTTATTTATTCAATTCCTATAAATTGAATGTAAATGTCAACTGGTTTAAGTAATATGAATAATGCTACGTATTTTTTAAATGTATTATTAAATTCGATTTTTGTTATCAGTAGGAAATTTCACCACTTATAATACTGTTAAACGCATATTTTTACTAAGTGAAACAAATTTATATTGGTTTAATGTTATTTTCGTTCAGTCTGATATGGTCATTTTCAATAATGTGATCAATTAGTGTCTCACCCCTACTGTCTGTGTAGTTGTAGTTCCACTGTATGGACCTGTCCTTAAGATCTGCACATAAAATGAGTGGCTAGCCTACCCACGTGTTCGCAGTGCGGGAAGACCCGTGTCCCTGAAAAAAGGGATCCTGGCAGTTGAAGGGGCATCCTGGTACCCCAATACACTGCTTTGGCCCGAGCTTCAGGTAAACGGGAGGTGCATATTGGCCTGTATGCATCAACCGGCTAGTCACGAACGTCATCTGGTGGCTAGCGTCAAGCCCGCGGTTACTTACTCGTTAGGGGTGGAGACTGCTTCAGGGGTGACTGCGGGCGTATAACTGTCGGTATCGGTGTTTAAGTAGCATGGCACACCATAGCAAAAACAACGGAAAAATCCCTTCACCATTTGATAACACTCAATATTATATCCTTAAATTTACAAATCCTGATCCATTCCTATTTAAAAGTGTCACTTTTTTTTTTTATTCACGAAGGTCTCTTGTCCGCATTAAGATGGTAGCTTCCTTGAAAAAGTTACGTTCTGGTCACCTATTAATTCAAGTTTCAACCGAAAAACAAGCAACTTTTCTAAAGATGTGCTCATTTGAAGTCCTTATCACTGAACATATTTCGCGGTGTTATATCTGAACATGAATTAATGACTCAGAAGAAATGATAACAAAAAAGATCAGAATGTTATTGCCGACCGTAGTTTAAGTTTTCGGAGGGACGGTAAATTTATCTCTACAAAACATCTTATCACGTTCAGCAAGCCAAACTCCCTATTTTCCTCTCAAAATGGCTTATCACAACTGCCCGGTTCGTAATATCCCAAACCTTTTGATGTGCTTCCAATGTCAAAGGTTTGGGTATTCCAAAACATCTTGTCGCGGTCGACCGGTCTTTGCTCATTGTTTTGGTACTGACCATGAAGACAGCGTTGCCACCCCTATAAATTAAGTGCAAGGGGGCTCATGCTGCGTACTCCAGTAGTTGTCCCAAGTGGTCCCGGGAAAAGGAGATAATACGTTTTAACTGCTTCTGTCTTTCACTTTTCACTAATCCCATTGCTGTATTTTTCTCACCGTTTTCGCTCAACGAAAAATACATTTTAGAACGTGATCTGACTAATTCCTAAACTATTACAAATTTAATTAATTTTTCATCTTACCAAGTACTTTTTATTTTTATTGGAATGTAAAAAGTGATGTTTGGGATAAACAGGTGTATCATATAAATCAATGTTTTCCACCATGTCAAGAAAACTATCCTTTGTCTGAATCGGTGTTTGTAAACAACAATTTTGCTTTCGATCTATCTTTATTAATGTGCCTCTTGTGAAATCCGTTTATAAATCTCTTTCTGGTATCGAAGACGGAGAAACCAGTATATATGGGCCGATTGAGTGTCAAAGATGTGACATGTTCTAAGTTCTCAACAATAAATTTGAAGAAATGAAGAGGGAGAAGCGATTAATTTTAATGCATTTCATTTTTTTAAACGGTGACAGAGATTTTCCCTAGTTTTTCTGCAGTCGCTATTATTCATGTGCTTCCAAAAGTCCTTATCAAAAATATTATTCGCCTTTTTACGCAAATTTTGTATTAAAAGCGATGAATGGTTTTAACAGATTCTTGTTTGAAAGATCAAACTTTATGAATTTTTTTTGGTCGCACACCTATCTTTAAATATATTTTCAAATTTACTTAAACTACGTAGTTATACTTGTCGTTTAAATTTGGATTAAGTTTCGAAACATTTAAAGCTTTCTTTATATATGATTCTCTGAGAGTAGGGCCAAAGCATATTTGATGTTACTTTTAACTTTTGTGATGCAACGTGTAAGTCGCCGTGCAAATCATGTATCTCCTGCGGATATTCTAAATCGACTTTCAAGATATACCCTTCTTCATAATGAAGTTATAGTGAGAATGAACTTACGCCTACGTTAGGTCCGTGGTCAATACAATTACATTCTAGAAATCTTTATCGAAAGAATTAGTTGCCTTTTTTCTTATCTCTGTGTTAAAATTTATGAATGGTTGTAACAAGGCTTCTTGTTTTTAACGTACAATTTTTTATATTTTTTTCTCTGTAACCCTAATTTTCAGTTTCTGTAATGGAGTACATATCTATTCTTATCATATAAATTAGGTAATAGTTTTGAAACGTTTGAGGGGTTACTCACAATTAATTCTGCCGCTTCTCTAGGGTGAAAGCATATTTGTAACTTTTAATTGTTCTGAGGCAACTGGTAAATCGCTGTGCAGAGCTTGAATTTCCGTAGGATATTCCAAGTCTACTTCGAGAATCATTTCCTCATCCTGATCATCTTGCATATTTAATATGTCAAACTAACACTCAAATCTAAGTTCAGAAACCACCGAAAGATTTTGGTTAGTAGATGGCTCATCATCGCTGTACCATAGAGCTTATTCTTATTCAAATAAATTAAGTTGGGAGAGGGTATGCTAGTGTTGTAATCACCAGTTATGTATTTGTTGTTTGTGCTGGCGTACCCGTTGGATATCATCGACGCTCCTACTCTCACCCCTTTCTCAATAAACAGATGCATAGTGGGTTCAGTTAAAAATTATAATATCACCTTCGTCATTTTCAGACAAGCATTCCAAGCCAAACCGCGGGCGGTGAATACATACGCCGGGACAGTTTCGTATTGCGATAAGCATAAAGTTCTAAATTTCTCAAAGACATCAGCGAGAAGCAGCTTTTCTATCTTTACATATGAATTGTAATAGTCTTTCAATGTTTCTATGTTGAAATTTTATAAAACAGCTTGTGCGTGATTATAAACCGATTGTCTCACATCTTTTTCATTTAAACTTCTACGCGGGGGTAGTTCGGTTTTACGGTTTTTTCTTTTAGTCCATAACACTATCTGGATTAGGAGCACTAGAGTTATCATCACGGTGTTTATAACGATGCACCACTGGACGTCCGTTCACATCCCAGTCGGTTTCGATGACGGTAGGCAAGATAAGATACACTTGTTTAGAAACCATTGTCATTCGGATGATTAGGCGAACATAATGAAGGTGGACATCAGGCTTGGTGCACCAAGTCGTGGATTCACACCTCATGGCATCTGAAATCAAATTTCTGGACAGAATTATACTCCACATAAAAAACGGGTACAGCATCGGTAATTCTGTGTGAGTAGCTCACAAATGACCAAAGTTTAGTTACACACAAAGAAACACAATAAAACAATGTGAACGAGAAATAATTTTTTTTAAACACCTAAAAAGCATGTGGCACAGATGTGGGAATTTTCACCATACAATAAACAAAAAAAAATTTATTAAAACAATTAAAGCATTAAATTAATACAAATAAGAAAATTTCGTCACACAACATTGTGACACTAACTAAAATATTCGTAAGGGTAAACACCCTTGCTTTTTGAAAGAGGGAGTCTATCGCTAAGGAGTTAGGAAGATAGCACATGAAATTATCACGAACTTATCAAGGGAGGCTAATGAACAGAATAGTATAAAAATTGAAAAAAAACCGATCGAGAAAGTAATGAACTGCTCCGCATTGGTTCCAATACATCATTGTTTTTATTATGTGGTGACTATCATAACCTTTTAAATTATGAAACACTAAAGATATTTTTTTAGTTAATTTATAGTTTAAATTGCAACTGAATGTAAAGCATCGCGATATTTAGATATGAGATAGCAATGGTCTCAAACTCAATTATTTTCTAATGACTCTACAAATATAACAATGCGTTGCATTTGAAAATCTATCTTCTTCCTCTTCGGCCAATTGCATTGGTTTTTTAACGGAAAATAAATCTAAGATTAGTTTTTCCTTTCCTAATAAGATGTGTATGAAATGTTACACTGCGTTTTCTCCATAAAATACATCTCGTGGTTTCAAACACTTCCCAACGTAGTCAGTAATGACATATGAATATCTTCACATAATGTGTTGTGCGTCTATTTGAGTACAAGACCCTAAATTTGAGTTTTTTTACTAAAATGCATTCAAAATCAGCATGAATAATTTAAGGAATATGAAAAGAACTAAATTTTAAATGCGATCTTTTTCGCTTGGCATCGTTACTTTTTGCAACTTATGTTCCCTACAGTAAATTACATGATCATACAGTGCATTTTTCAGGAAAATCAATGAAGACAAAAATCGCAGTAAAATTTTGCTCTTTGCGCAGTTAAATGAGTTAACAATCTACTCATTTTATGAATGAGGCGAAAATGTTTCTTTAGATATCTGTAATAGATTTGAATGATGGACACCAGTTCGGTTAGACGATAGATGTAGCGGGAAAATGTTTCAATTCTGATTGGCTACAAAGTGTGACGTTGACCACAAAGTGTTGCGACATTCTGATTGTGAAGACGTGAAATTTTCAAGAATGACTAAGTGTTTTGAAAAAAATATATATCCCAGTGGGATATTTATTATATATTCAATACAGTATAATCAATAATTTTGAAGACATTCGTAGATCAAATTTGTCTAAAACAAAGCGAAAGACTTGTGCATTTTTAAAAAAAAGGCATTCTGTGGGGCCCCCTACATTGCTTCTAAACAGATGGAACAATCCTCTGGTACTTTAAAAAGTACTCCTGCACGTCCTGAGCAAAAATTTGCTCAACAATTTCATGGCTCATTCTTATCCAATTGATCTGTATGGATGGTTGAAGGCCTTCTCGTAGGCCATCTTCCATAGGCAGCACTTTCCATAAAATTGCCACTCCCTCCAAGCTATACTCGTCTAATACTTCGGTGGAAGTTGTAACGTCCAGTTTTTGCACAATATCAGTTTGTACAAGTTAGCCCGACAAAGAAAATCATGTTTTTGTTTGTTCTTGCTTTGCAAAATCTGGACAACACTTCAATGTCCAGTACTTTGCCTACGTCATTACTAGTTGCAATAACAGAACCATTCATTGAGGCATGCCCACGCCTTTGCCATGTGCCATCTATTGCAACGGGAATGTCTTTGGAATTGCTACCTGCTTCGGCTCCACTAGCCGCATCACTCATGCTCTTCATAGCGACACTTTTTATTGCCGAGCCTAATTCACTTGTGACTTCATCAAATCTGTGAGGTGGAGCAGGTAAGTTCATTATCCCACGAAACATTTGAGCATCTGCCTTCCCTTTTCCGATGCTTCTCATGGCATACGTTAATCTAGTATTAACTTACGTTAATACTAGATTACGTTAACTTACGATACGTTAATCTAGTATAAATTTTTGTGTCTCTATTGTTGCACACTTTAGATGAAACTTCAGTATTTAAAAAAGACTATTTAAAATTACACTGCTCACAGTAAATAGAAAGTTCAGATGCAAGTCCTTGAACTTGCCTGGAAAACTTCAGTTTTATGCTTTTGTTTCTGCAAGTTGAGCATAACACAGAATCATTCAAACAATTAGATTATAAATTTAAATTATTTCCTTTGCATTATTATTCAGAAATGATTCATAATCATTTACATGTTTATCCAGTTTGATTTTTGACGCCGATCAATGTTTGTTGATGAGCACGCTGTTTTGCAATGAATGCCAAACGCTTTCCTTTTTGGCCCACCTGAAATAATTAAAAAAAAAAGACTGTAGCGTAGAAAAATCAAGCATATTAAACAAAAGGAAACAGATATATCTAACGTGTGTCTTACCAGAAACAAACTTCATTATTGTATCTCCTTCAAGCTCGTCAGTGAACTCCCCAAAGTAGTTTCCCAATGGTGGGTCATTCTGACCATTCGATGAATAGATTATTGAGTCTGTATCAAAATACAGAACCTGTTCACCGAGCTTGTCTAACTCATTATAGAGTTTTAATCTAGCATGACATGTAGTGAAGGCGGCGAGGAATATATTAGTACTGATGTCCTGTTCAGTAAATTCAGCCTTTTTCTTCCATTGCATATCACATATTTGTTCTGTAGGGAAAGAAACATCCTGCACCTTCAATGAAATAAAGAATTAATTTAATTGATTAATTAATGAATAATTTCAGTTTCCTAAAAAATTAATCAATTGATTTACTTTTCTCTTACCACTTCTGTGCTGTCAACAAGCAAGTTGTTGAAATCCTCTGAAGAGTTGACGAAGGTTAGCATCATCTTAATAAGACTCATGCCCCATCTACCCCAGAAGCTATTAAGGGCTAACTTTGACCTGGATTGTAGTTTCTCCTTGTCCAACAAAATTCCTTCCTTTTGGAAATAATTCCTCACGTATTCATCCTTCTGCTCGTCCGTAACACATCCTTCTGGCCGATGTATCTGGTTCGTTAGTGTTCAAAAATTCACCTCTAGCGGTGAATGGCGCTGTATGCAATAAGGTTAAACGAAATAACAGAGGAAACATCAGTTGCAAACACTTTTATTGTTGCTACAAAGCATGCTCAATGTGGCATCCGCCATTTTCTGAAAGCAAATTAAATCGCAATATTGCATTCTCAACATCACTTCTTAGCACATCTGGAGAAATGTTACGGACATGTCTGTGTATCGCATTCTTCAATTCCATTAAATTGGTTATGTTATCACTATAAACAATGGCTTTGAGATAACCCCACAACTAGAAGTCACAGGGGTTGAGGTCTGGTGATCGGGTTGGCCAAGTTTTTGCGGTAACTAAAATCCCATGACCTCTTATAGACATTTACCAAGTTTGATGACATTTGGTTGGGTAGTTTTATTTTTGTAGCCATTTCAAGTGGAACTTTAATTATAAAGACCATGTACATTGAATGTTAATGAGACTGGTTTAACATTTCCATCCTATTTATACTTCTTGAATATCAGTCACCCAATCATTAAACTTATCAGGGTAACCTAAAAATTTAACAAACTATTGCATCTTTCCATTGATTTTCTATTTTTTAAATTACTTTTTCAACCGGAAAATAACCAGAATTGACAACTTTTTGTAATTCTTCCGCCTAAAAAGTACCTTCGATTGCTTCATTCTATAGGATTTCGTATGTATCACAAATAATTCCCGTGTCCAATTATTTTCATATCCTTTCTCAAATGTAAGTTTTTTGATTTACTAATGCGAACCCCTAAGGGAGTTTACCTTCTTTAGGTAAACACAGGGAATCACGCCCCAGGGTGCCCAAGTGATCTGTCCTCCCTTCAGTTTCCTCTCCCTTTCCTCCTACTTTCTCCTTTCTCTTCCCCCTTGTCGTGGTTGCCAAATTAACTAGTAAGGCCTTTTTGTCTGTTCGAATACCATCCTGTTGTATCGGACCCTGATGGGAAGAGACACCCCACGTGTTCGCCGTGCGTGGAGACCCGTGTCCCTGGAAAAGGGGATCCTGGTAGTTGAGGGGCATCTTGGTACCCCAATACACTGCTTCGGCCCTTGCTTCAGGTAAACGGGAGGTGCATATTGGCCTGTGTGCACCAATCGGCTAGTCACGAATATCATCTGGTGGCTAGGGTCAAGTCCGGGGTCATTTACTGGGCACCTCGTTAAGGGTGGAGGCTGCTTCAGGAGTGACTCGCGGACGTATAACTGTTTGTTAACACCGTTGTTAAATAGTGGATTGGTGGCAACACCAGTTTGATATTTACATCCCCTTAGTTGGACTCCGTGGTGGGTGGTGTCGCTAATAGTGGAAATGTTTGAAATTTTCTATGGCTGAAAATAGCAAGGTGTTATGTTCTGCACACCATAGTAAAAACAGCGGAACAACTTCTACACCGAATGATTACGCTCAGTATTTTCTGATAAAATTGAATAATCCTACTATACCAGATACGTCCTTTAGCAAAGTGTCCCCCTTTTTAATACATAAAGCTCTTCTCTCCGTACTGGGAGAAGTCACTTCCGTTAAAAAGATACGATCAGGTGACCTCTTAATACAGGTCTCCTCTTCAAAACAAGCCGACACCTTATCCAAATGTAATGTCATGTGCTCTTTCGATGTAACAGTTACGCCCCACAATACTCTCAATTCCTCTCGAGGTGTAATTTCGGAATCCGAATTTTTGAATGATACCGAAGAAATGATTCTGGAAGAACTACAAGAGCAAAACGTAACAGCTGTCAGAAGGATCAAGATTCGTAGAGATGGTAAACTCATCCCTACGAAACATCTAATCCTTACTTTCAGTAAACCACAAATTCCATCTTCAATTAAAATGGCTTGGCATAACTGCCCAGTGCGACCTTATGTTCCAAACCCTTTACGATGCTTTCAGTGTCAAAGGTTTGGACATTCAAAACAATCCTGCCGTGGTCAACCTGTATGTGCTCGCTGCTCTGGTACTGGCCATTGCGACACATCCTGTGAGTTGCCATCCCTTTGCATCAATTGCAAGGGTGATCATGTTGCATACTCCAGGAGTTGTCCAAAATGGTCCCTAGAGAAAGAAATACAAACCGTTAAAGTCTTGCAAAACCTGACGTTCAATGAAGCTCGCCGAATCGTCACCGCCCGTACACCTCGTCCAGGCGTGTCGTATTCCACGGCTGTTAAGACTTCTTATTGTTCTGTCAGTACGCAAACTGATTCCGTAACACAAAAATGTAGCACAAATAAACA